GGCATATAGCCACTCTGTTATATGCAGGGCTGCCAACATTGGGTGATAGGTAAGAGTGAGATGCGAGAGAGCGAAGCGACCGAGCGGGGGGTGGGAGCCTCCCACGGTAGGGAGCTTTTGCATTTTATAACTTCAATTTGTGCAATTTGGTGCATACTAAAGTGACTGTTTTCAGATATCTCAGCATTTTTTTGCTGTGCGTGAGATATTGTAAGATCAGCGTGAGATCGTGAGATTTGGTCAAAATGCGTGAGTCTCACGGTCAATGCGTGAGAGTTGGCAGCCCTGTTATATGTAGAGCTGTGCTCCCAGGCGCCCATCACCCCTACGCAGTCATAAACATGCTCCGCACGTGACATCACTTTACGCCACAGACATGAAACAATCGGGTCCGTACATCAATCGACACCGCTGCTGGCCATAACGCACGTACATCCTACGCACTAGCGGCAAGCGCGACACACGCTGGCTATCTGTAACACCTGCTGTTGATTACACGTTTGGACAAACAATCAGTGCACAGCAACAACTCATGTAAACTCAGTTGCGCGATCTACAGGCGATCGTCGGTTCAACCCAAACTTTTAGCGCATATCTGCGACAGCCAGCTCGCACATCCGCTAGACCGTACACTGCGCACGCACGCGCGCCATCGGCATTTCTGATGATGACTTACAGATGGGAAATTACTGTTGTTTGTATTACATGGGACCTGTCTGATGGCGACGACTTATAAATGACGACTTAGGCAGGGCTATTCCAATGGATTTACTATGAGAGAAAATCGGGACTTTGACTTCCATGACGACTTATGCGAATTGACGAGTTAGACGATGACGACTTAGAAATGCGAGTTTTACTGAACTATTCAGTATACTGTTACTAGTACTGTACTACAGGATTGCAGGGCCAAGGATATAAGAGCTGTCCACATTTGCACATGTCGCACACTCCGAAAATGAATTGGGGACAGCTCTTATATCCTTGAACCGGATCGCCCTATGATCAAAGCATCTTCAGGCAAGCCAACATGAGCTTCTACTCAGCCCCCAGGAATCCCTTCCACCTGGAGCCAATGAGGCATGGCCTACCTGGCTATGCCTAAATCGCGTCAGGACGGGTTGGTCGATGCAAGGGCAATCGTGCAGAAATGGGGATACATTGAAGATGGCCCAATCGAATGTGACTGCGGGGAGGACCAGACTATGGGACATCTCCTGGAATGCCCCCTATTACTAGAGCCCTGTAGACTTAGAGACCTTGAGGTTTTCAACCACTGTGGAAGATCCTGTGTGCTGCAGTGGCTAGGTCGAGTGTAGTGTAGTGATCCGAGAAGAAGAAGAAGACTGCGCAAGAGACCGTACTGTTGCACTCTCATTTTTTATACTTGAATTCTTAATCCAAAAGTGTTGGCACAGTGCCAAAGGTGTATGCACCATGGCTACACTGTTACAAAGTGACAGGCATAGTCGTATACTAATAATTGTCTTTCTTATTCCTATTTGATCAGATTACTAGAGGTTGGTTGAATATGTTCAGTAATATATTGGTGTGCTTGCCTTACAGAGTAACTATAGTGAAGGACAAGGAGACACGACAAAGCAAAGGTGTAGCGTTCATCCTGTTCTTGGACAGAACCTCCGCCCATAACTGTGTTAGAGCGATGAATAACACACCGGTATGTACGAATTTGTTACTAACTTACCGGATATTGCTTATTAGTTTCCTTAAACGTCAAGGGTCTAATTGGCAATTAAAAGCTGTCATGTTGCACCACATCCTGGTTAGTCTGGTACCTGGCCATTTCCATTCCAGGCAGGATAAAGATGAGGATAAAGAATATATATATATACAGAGAGCGGGAGGGAGAGAGATATGGAGAGAGGGAGAGGAAGAGAGAGGGAGGGAGAGAGAGAGAGAGACAGAGAGAGAGAGAGACAGAGAGAGAGAGAGGGGTTGCTTATCTCATATTGTGTTTTCAGATGTTTGGAAGGACGGTTAAATGCAGCATCGCCAAAGATAACGGACGTACGACAGAGTTTATACGACGAAGAGACTATCCGGACAAGTCACGCTGCTACGAGTGCGGGGTAGGCGAACATTATTATTCAAACATTCTCACGCCGACGTCCGCTGAGAAATTACAGTTTTTCTCTAGTTATCTTTGATTAGCTAAGCATGCGTAGAAAATTTTGACGTTTCTATTGCACAGGAGTTTGGCCATCTAAGTTTTCAGTGCCCCAACAACCTGCTAGGAGAGAGAGAGCCTCCAAAAAAGAAGGATAAGAAAAAGAGAAAGAACAAAGATGATGCAGCAGAGTAAGCAGAGAGATTATTTATAGTTTTTATATGGGTATATTAATGCATATTGTAATTAAATTTTGCAATCCGGCTCTGTAATTGCTCTTACCATAAACATAATCTATACTGAAAATTACCCTCTTAATAATCAGCTTTGTGAATCGACCTCTTGTCATCACAGATATGTAACATTTAAAGTTTCAATTATGTTTACATATATATCAGAGAATAGCGAGTTGCTGAGTGATTTAGTTTTGGTAAATGTGTATCTCACGTTGTACCACAGGTATGGAGCGTCTTCACAGATGGAGGAGAAAGAGGAGGAAGAAGAGGAGGAAATCGAAGATCCTGCACTCGACACACTAGCCGCAGCTATTCAGTATCAGGTGGGGAGAAATTATTATCTTAAGTCTGTACTACATGTAATTGCGATGTATAAACTACAACAGGTTGGTGGTTAATTTTTAGCTCGCCTTGACATCGTAAGATGAGCTATTGCCATGGGGTGTCGTCCATCGTACGTCCGTCCGTCCATCCGTCAACATTTGGCTACGGTCAACGATAACTCAAGAACCGTTTGACCCACATGTTTCAAATTGCATAGAGTTGTTACTCCTATGGGAGAGGTTTGAACGTCCTATTTTGGAGCACGCCAGTTGACCTACCTTCGAGCCACGTCCACTTTTTGCCAAAAATGGAAATGGCCATAAGTCAGTTCAGGTTCAATGGATTTTGCTCATTTCTGGTATGTGAATGAATGAGGACTGGCCCCAAAACATATCACACAGGTTTTGATATTTTTTTTAAATTATGCAAATTAGGTAGATTTTGGCTATTTCACTATGCATTTCAGTGTCTGCCTATGGTCAACGATAACTCAAGAACCGTTTGACCCACTTGTTTCAAATTGCATACAGTTGTTACTCCTATGGGAGAGGTTTGAACGTCCTATTTTGGAGCACGCCAGTCGTCCTACGTTTGAGCTACGGCCACTTTTTGGCAAAAATGGAAATGGCCATAAGCCAGTTCAGGTTCAACGGATTTTGATCATTTCTGGTATGTGAATGAATAAGGACTGGCCCCAAAACATCACACGGGTTTTTTTTAATCATTATTATGCAAATTAGGTAGATTTTAGGAATTTCACTATGCATTTCAGTGTCTGCCTACGGTCAACGATAACTCAAGAACCGTTTGACCCACACGTTTCAAATTGCATACAGTTGTTACTCCTATGGGATAGATTTGAATGTCCTATTTTGGAGCACGCAAATCGACCAACTTTCGAGCCACGCCCACTTTTTGGCAAAAATGAAAATGGCCATCTAGATTCATTCGATTTTGTTAAATTTTGGTATATGAATGTCTAAGGCTAGCCCCAAAACAGTTGTTACTCCTATGGGAGAGATGACAATGTCCTATTACGTTTATTTCGTCTAACTGGTTAACAACACTACAATCATACCTATATACGTGTAATATTGTATTTTAGATTCTTTGTTACAGTAATTTGACTGGAATATTTTATTGTTTTTATTTGCGTGATATTCGAAAACCAAAATGGCGATCATTTAGGCGTAGCGCCATCTCTCGTCAAGATTTCAGACTTTCAGATCGGAAACATTAATCTTCGCATCAAAACTTATGCATATATCATCATCAAGAGTATATATAATGGGAGATATGCTATATAATGGGAGTTCTCCCATATATACCCTTTGCTTTATATATTCCCCCTCCCTCTTCTATCACACCCAAGGTGAACTACAGTGTCATTGACACTTTCATTATATTATGACAAGCGCTAACTTCTCATTACCCATAAAAGGAATTACACCATAGTTAAGATGATGCATGCAGTTCACAGTTATCGCAGCAATCAACGTTCTTATCGTAAACGATTAGTTCAATAGTATGTTTACTAATTGCCTAAAGTTAGACTAAAGATTAAGTTTAGGTTGGTGCAATAAATGTTGAATTTGAGATTGCGCAGGTAATTCCCACAAAACAGTATAAAATGTTTCAGAAAGTCAGTTTTTGTCAGGAAAATGTAAGTTACCTGATGTGGCATGCACAACAAAACTGAGACATAATGTAACTGATATCAATCTACATTCAGCAACACAGAATAGAGGAGGACGACTACAGATATAGAGTGACAACGGGCGAGTACAGTGGCGCCGATGGTGGCAGCGTGGATACGGCTGACACACGGAAACGCTTCAAGAAGAGTGAATACTTCAGCGATGAGGAAGAGGAAGATGAAGCGAGAACGTGATCCCTGTTCGTCCGATCTCATTCTCCTGTATATATACCACGTTAATTCTCCACATCGCAACCATATGAGCGTGAATGTCAATATTGATATACGTGCTATCCGACCATGTATCACTCGTTCGTTCACTCTGTAGGCAACTCGTGTGGTGGGGAAAGTATTTGACCCACCTCTGGTGGGTTTGTAGACTAGAGAATATATGCCTATTGGAAGTTTTATTCTGTTCAGTGAACTCTGCTGTTATTGTACGATGTCCTGGTCTTCTTTCTCGATACTCTTGCTTTTATGATAGGTGTTACCTTTTTGATATAGAGTTAGTTACACATGCCGTTTTTGATCGTATGGTGTATCAAAGTTTCAATGACATTTAAAACTGTACTATCTACGTTGTACATAGATTGTGGAATGCATGATATATATTAATAATGATAATAATAATGTAAATACAATAGAAAAAAATCCCAACACATTGTTCATCTTTTAATTTACTGTCACCGATGTGACTTTTCATTTTACATTGATGCAAGACTTGCCATCTAGACTCTAATACAAAAGTAGGCATATTTCTGTACATATTATTTACATAATACCTCATTAGGAGTTAATAACAAGAGCCGCAGAGCGTCTGGGCTCATCTGAGGTCTGTTGCTACGGTTATAAACGTAACATTTAAGTTGTGCGTAGTGACACCTTTGTTAAGCGCATATATGCAGATACGCAGTTCGGATTACCCCCCCACGTCCCGAATATCGTGACCGTACGTCGAGCGGTTAAGATTTGTGCCCAACTGTTGACGGACGGACGGACGGACGATCATGCGATTCTACAAGCTGCATCTGACTATGTCAGATGAGCTAAAAACAAAAGTTTTCATTCAATCCTGCTCACATGTATAATTCCAGTCTTCACTTGCTCATATTGAAACTGGCTTTTCTAAAATCGCATTCACTCACAATCCTTGGTGATCATTGAAACTGACATGACTCCGTTCAGCTTGAATTTGTTTCATGTGTCACAGATCTATACTCAATGATGTACAATTGACAGTTTTTACATCAAACTCCATGCCTCTTGTTAGAATTCTTTGTCCAGAAGTTCATATTTCTCATCACACAATGATGCACATTTGAAAGTTTTTACATCAACTCCATGCCTTTCATTAAAATTCTTTGTACAGAAGTTCATATTTTGGCACGTTCTGAGGATCAAGTGGATTCTTGACCATGAGTTTGCCTCTCATCGCACCTCTGTAAATGACTTCGACTACGTCGATGAAATCCTGCTTATTCCGGAAGCTTCCTATGAACTTGGTGTGGTCTGGAGTGCTGTAACATAGTGTCAGATAGCATGCAATTATATATACATAGACATGTCACCAACCCCACCAGACAGCTAAAATGTTTTTGTGTTACCTTGATATAAGTAGACAGAGAATTACGTTTGATATTAAAATTACGTATTAATCCTACACATTGGATTAATGATATTAACTCAAAACAATGATGGGAAACGTACCCCCAGTCTACTTTCATATGCTGGCCATTGAAGAAAAAGATTGTTGCCGGTATTAATGTGATATCGAAGTATTGCATATAGACAGATGCTCCATCAACTTCAACAGAGAAAATCTTTGCCATCTTCGAGAGTCCTGCAGCAGTCTTCCAGAGCTACATAACAAAAAGAATCACCAATATTATTGCAAATATCAGCTATGGTGTAAAAATGCATCGGTTTGTAAAGAGTACGTGTATTGCCGCTACGAAAAGTGACAAAAGGCGCTGCCCGTTATCTTGGTGTTTTTACTATGTCAAGAAAGTACAAAAGATTAGTTTTAATTACTAGCACTCCCACACAATAACTACATAACCTCATAAAGATTTGTCTTTAAAGTCTATATCCAGGGGTCTGTATCGAAGACGGAGAGAGACAGAGTTGATAAAATGCAGTAGCGTAGCCAGGATTTTTTAACAGGGGGGGCCAAAAACAGCAAACTGCGCAAAATAGTGAATGGTTCCTCCGCCTCCCTTTCCACACCCTACGCTGTCCCTACTCTCAGCTCTGCAATCTTTGTTATGGGCGCCATGCAAAGAGGCAACATTTTTGTTCGTTGTTCTCTGCTCCCACGATAAGTAACTGTTCTGTGGCAGATCCAGTATTCCAAGGAGGGGGGGGGGCGGTGACAAATAGGCGGGGGGTATAGCAGGCCCGTAGCCAGGGGGGGTTTGGGTGGTTCGAACAAACCCCCTTCCCCCGAGCCCCCCCAGCAAAAAAAATAAATGTTTGACCTCAGGTCGCTCCATTTTAGTGTAATAATTGCAAAATCTCCATCATGCGGGAGGGTGAGCAGTGAACACCCCCCTCCCACACCCTCTCCCCCCGCTCGGTCGCTTGGCTCCCTCGCCTGGTCGCTT